TTTCTTCTTTGTTTTTTTTGTTCTTCTTTGTTTCTTTGTTTCCTCCTTTCTTTCAAAGAGTAAAAGAAAAATAGCGCTTCGTGCTGCTCTTCTTCCAATCTTCTCATCTCATATCATCTCGGCGCAAATTTCATGCTGTGTCCGTGGCTTTATTTTTTTTCCCGTCGTTTTCTATAATCTCTCTCTTTCGTCCTTTGCTTTGCCTCTGCGGGTATCTGATCTTACACATGTGAAAAAAACAACAAAAAAACACACAACAGCAGTAAATAATAATCGAGTAGTCAAATATTGATGACTAGGATATCTCAGAAAGAAGGGACTTTGCGGGAGGAGGGGGGCAGCGCTGTGAAGTCGCGGGTTCCCCCCCCTCGAGCGTGCCTAACGAACGTTTGTTTTGATTCGTACTCGGATTGTAGAAGAAGGATATTTCAGGAGGGGATTTGGGATACGAGGAAGCTCTCATGTAAAAAGTAGAGAAGAAAGAAAAAAGAATGGAGATGGCTGGTTGTAAGAAGAATGGAGTGATCATGGCCTTCATAAATAACAATGATAAAAAACAAAGCTCATTGTCTGGCTGTAGTGGCAGCAGAGATATAAAAGAAATATGATGAGTGTAAAACGCCATGTGAAAATTCCAAAGGAGCGCCATGTATCCCCGATATCCCGAGATATAACTATAAGTGTAGATGTAGAGAAAAGTATATGCTGTCGCAGATATAAAAGAGAAAAAACGGTAGTAGAGAAGTGAAAAAGGAAATATTGCAGTAGGTAGCAAAAAGGACGGAGGAAAGAAGGAAAACAATGGATATGAATGAGTGGCGATGTTGAGAAGTAAGTAGCGACTGCGCCGCGGATATGGAAATTTCAAAAAGGCGATTGTATAGGATTATTCGCCCGGATATATGTGAAAGGTCGGATAGCTAGTGACCCGCAGCGCGCAATTCTATGCCGCTGTCACGGTCTTGTGCCTCCTTGGCCCATGTATCGGATTCGGCAATCGATATGGTATCGTCCCCAAAGTGCGACGCCGAAACAGTAGATATCGTATCGTCTCCAACTTGAGATGTGTCTTCGCGATAATCATAGTATGAAGCCGCCAAGACGCGTCCAGGCATGGCATCTACGTCGGCGATCTTGACTCGGTAAGCCAATGCTTTCTGCCCCTCCTTTATCAGCAAGTCGGTCCAGTTCAGGCACTTTTTGAGGCTCTGGTTCATCTTCTGGCTGTCAAGCAGGAGCTCTTGATGTCTAGTGAGATCAAGCTGGAGGCGGCGCTCATCGCGTTTACGCCGTTTAACGCTGGGTGAATCTGCCTTTGCTTGAGGGTCGGTAGATTTGGGGTCAGTGGCGGCATTTTCGTTGGACAACTCGGAGTCGACTAGTGAGTCTTCATCCTCCTCTTCTTCTTCCTCCTCCTCTTCTTCCTCATCCTCCTCCTCGTCATCGTCGGATTCCTGGTTCTCCGGATTGCCATCCTCTTCCTTCTCGCTGACATCAGTAAGGCCACCCGAAGCATCTGGTACAGACAGAGAGGCTCCTTGGTTAGTGGCCATTGTCAAGCGACCCGCTCTAGATAAACGGCGGAAGCGGCGCAGTTCCGCAGATTGTTTGCGCATTTGCCTTTCGAGAGTCCGATTGATGGCCTCAAGGGAAGCATTGGTGATTTCGAGGTCCTGAACTTTACGTTCACGCCGAGCACTTAGGACGAGGTGGTCAAGCGGCTCAGAATTCTGAGATAGCCTCTTATGGCTGCGGGAGTCAGAACCTGAATCGTCGCTGTGTCCATCCTCCCCGTCTTCGTCCTCGCTACCCTCGTCCTCCTCATCTTCTAGCTCATCAGCCATTTGCAAAATCGTTGCCATTGTCACTGGCTGGGACAGTTGCGCCAAGCCTGGGCTTAGAAGCGGCGGTGTCATGTCAGGTGCATGTATCATTGGTGGCGCATGTATCATGGGTGGCGCGATAGTTGGCGTAGCGACCTTTGGTGTCACCACTCCGTCTATGGAATGGACACTGCCTGTGTGGCCATGCCCCTGTTTTAGCCGCAGAGGCGCCTCGATACTCACGCGCCGCTTGCCGACCTGGCTTGCGGAGCCCGCCAATGTCGGGGACGGGTGGGCTGAGGATCGAACTGGAGAAGTTGGAGACATGGCGCCGGTCCGTATTGATCGCGGTGATTGTTGATGGTGGTGCTGTTGTTGTGGTGGTAACGTAGGGTGTGTAAGGTTCTTGGAAGGCGATGCTGGCCTCGAATGCACTTGTACCGTGCTGGATCCCGCGACAGATGAGGCGCTGGTATTTGGGCGTGGCGCTCTAGAGCCACTGGATACCGTCGAGCCTGATCCAGAGCTGCGCGCCGACAGTTTCAAGTCGACGTCTGGTGCGCCATTGGCGTAAAAGAATTTGGTAGCAACTCCCTCTTGCGCCGAGCTCAGTGAGTTGGTGCTTGAGCTTGGGTATGCTGGAGGGCTCGTAACTCGCTTGCTGGCAGCATCGCTCGCGTAGAAAAAGGTCGGCGTACTCTTAGTATGGACCACAGAAGCTGGCCGAGGCGGATGTGATGTTGGAGCCGCGGGCTTTACGCTGCTCGCGTAGAAGAACTTGGAGTCGTCCCCAGACACGTTGGACGAGTTCCCGATGCTCTTTCTAGAGCCCGCGTTGTCAGTCCGTGCCAGGGGCGACACACCCAGCCCGCGGCTACTCCTATTACTCTTGGTCTCCCATCCATCGCTCAGCTTGTCGAGATTCGGTGTGCTATTCGGCGTCGTATGAGTGCTTTCGGCACGGGTCTGCCTGGTGCCTGACCGCGGGGTGGTGCTGTGACTTAGGAATGATGATGCAGTGACGGAGCTGACGTCGCTGCGAGGAGATTGCGCGCCGTTGATGGAGGATCCTGATCTTCGAGCCATAGGCGTCGTGGCCGTCGTCGTGGCCGCCTGACCTCGCACGGCGACCTTGGGCGTCAGGGGCGCTCGGGTCGAGCCTCTTGCGACTCCAGGCGCAGCGCCAGCGCTCAGCTGAGGCTGGCGAGGCTTGTCTCCGATCGGCATGGCGGATGAGTTCCTCGTGGCAGAAGAACGCGGTGTCGGAGCAGCGGCAGCCCTCACAGAAAGCACATGTTGATGTTGATTCGGGGATCGAGCTTGCACCGCAGCGGGCTTTGGCGCGACGCTGGCACGGATGAGGGGCCGTCCTTGGGCTGTCGACGTCGATCGGGGCGCAGGCGCAGGTGCAGCGCTGGTGTTTTCGGCAGCCGGTCTCTTGGGGACTGCGGGCTTGCCGGCGGCGAGGCGTGAGAGGCGGGCGGCGGATGATGTTGTTTTTGCCTTGTCGACGATGGTGTCTGAGTACGGGTTGCTCTGCACGGAGCGCATCCTCCCAGGCGGCCACAGTCACTCGCTGGTGGCTGTCGGTAGCGTTCCCTGGCTCCCTTGGGCAGCGTCCCTAGCACTGTAATTAAGCCCGCTGTGGTGGCTAGCCGGGCCAGAAATTAGGGGGCGTGTGGAGGGATAAAAGGAGCCGGGAGAGCCTGCGCCGGTCCACTGCGCCGGCGGGACGGGCAGCTCAACTGTAAATTAGAGGAGGGGATCACTGCTAGAGCTGCTGGAGAGACGGAGCACAAGACACGGAGGCTTGATGCTGCCGTTTTGGCGATGCGCAGCGCAGCGTCATGGTTTTCTATTTTACGTGCGCAACTCGCGGCGATGACATTCATTGCATCGATCGCCTGACTGACGGACTGCACAGGCGCACGCACACGCAACAATTATGGCCCAATCCATTTGCAGCGCAAGGGTTTCCGGCCCCCCGCAAGTTCTGTATCCAGAAAGGCGGTAAAGCGTGCAGCTGCAAGCCGGTCCTATGAGACGAGGCGGCATGCCAGGCAAAGCCCACAGTTGGAAGCGAGGATGCAGGTTAGACATGCATGCTAGCAGTAGCAGATGGCGGAGGGCCACAGAGCACAATTGGTGTGAATATGCGTGGGAGTACCGGTGTAAACACACATGTGTGCTGCTCGTAGCATCTATGTATAGATAGATCTCATACATACGGCCTGTGAGATGTAATATCATAGTGTATAATGTGGGCAGGTGGATTACATGTATGGAACGACGCCTGGAAAAGATGCTACACCGGGGACCCTGCAGTACATCTTACAAGGACTTTCTCAATGCGACAACGCACGCAATGCCAGCAATTCCCGCTCCCCCTTGCTCCGGCAGACGAGGTGAGATCTGAGTACTATTGCGCTGCATAGGTAGTCTACAGTACTGTACGTGCCGTACATAAAGCCTCGGCGAGAGATTTAATTAAACCTAGCACGCAAAAGAATGCTCCGTATGGGATATTAGTGCTGCCGTTTTGCTCGATAGCGTCACACGGACAAGGTCGGGATCGACAGCCATTGTTTATTTATTCGAATCTGCGCAACCACTACAAATAAGCTTCCTTGCCCAGATGAGACAAGAAAGAAAAAAAACCAGCTGAACAAACATGAGTAAGAGAGCTACCCTTTCCTAGGTGCCGTGCAGTAAGAAGGAAACATCTTCAGCACAGCATCATCATCTCCTGATGAAACAAAACAAAGCCAGAAAAATAAAAGAAGCAGCTGATTCGATCCAGAGGGTCCCCTGTTATACCACGCTGGGCATAGTCCCCAAACGCTAACGAACGTCCCGGCCTGGGGATCCATTTTCGACGGCAAAGAAAATGACAGGGAACTCGCCCTTTTCCGGTTTAGGGCGCGAGCCTCCAAATTTAGAGACCACATGCAGCCAGCATGCCTCTAGCTTTTTTCAATTTTGCCGCATCACTGACGTTGATGCTTTTAGTGTGTGTCAGAACTGGAATTTTGTAATTTTAACTCTTTGGTTTCTCTTTTGGGCTATCTCTTTATTTTTATTCCTTTCTTCTCTTTTACTGGCCGGCACCTTTTGCCGACTGCCCTTTCTTTCTTTCTCTTAAGCGAAGCACCGTTTGTCTCAGAAAAGGGCCCCACGATGGCCGTGCTGGGCATCTCGCTCATCGTCGCATCGGTCGTCTTCGTCCTTCTGCGGCCGCCGCAATGGCTGATGCTGCGATGGCAAGGCTTTGGAGGGATCGCGGCCATTACGGACGGCAAGGAGAAGGAGAAAGCCGCGGATAAGAACCAACGAAGCAGAGATGGCGCTGAAGCTGGTGTAGAACTAAAGGGGCTTTCGAAGACGACTTCAATAGCAACCTCCTCCGGGACCCTGAAGCAGCGTCAGCCTCCTCCCACGATCGCGCCTCCCGTCATCGTGCCGCCATCCATCGAAGAACCAGAGTCTCCCTCCACGCCCAAAGCCCAGGCCGCAAAGCCATTGTCAGGCGCCATTCCCAGCCTCTCCCTCTCCGCCGACTCAGCGTCGTCGATGATGCCCCCGCCGCCTCTCCCTTCGCCTCGCCTGTCCAACGGCCGCATTCCATCTCTCAACCAGTTTCCAGCCCCCAACTCTGCCCAGCGTGCCCGCGGCCCTACGCCCAATCGCGGCCCTGCTGCGTCGTCTTCGTCATCCGGCCTCGCTCCTCCCCCCACGCTCGCTGCCAAGCCGCAGAAACCCAGCCGCCAGGTCGTCCTCACGCCGGGCCACTCTCCGCTGGACTGGGCGAGGATATCCGGACCCAACGCCGATTTGCGCGGCGTGGTTGCGTCGACCCCTTACCTACGTGTGACGCCTTCGATGCTCAAGACGCAGACTGGTCGCAAGGGCAAGGACGCTTGGATGGCTATCAATGGCAAAGTGTACAATGTTACGCCGTATGCGAGATTCCATCCTGGAGGTGTGCCGGAGCTTATGAGGGGCGCGGGACGAGATGGCACGAAGCTGTTTGGAGAGATTCATCCATGGGTCAATTATGAGACTATGCTAGCAGCGTGTCTTGTGGGGTTGCTGGTCGAAGAGTCGGATGGCAAGGAGAATGATATGGATCAAATGGATTAGACTATTTGGGCTGAAGAGGAATATGAGGAGTTGAAGGACGAGGATATGTGCGTATACACCACAAAGGGCTAATAGATGTTATACATAAGCTAGAGAGATACCCCCTGTACAAATAGTATTATACATAGATGGCATAGATACAATCCCGCAGGAGCACACCTTGCTGCTCAGCAAATCACCGTCTCTTGCCAAATCTAAACTTGAGGTCGTCGTCACTATCGTCACTGTCTCCAACCTCCAGCAGGGTTGTCGCCAGTCTCGTCCGTTTCGGCGGTGGCGGGTCCCTAGCTGCCGCAGGTTCCGTGGCCGCTCTCTTCCCCTGGCTGCCCGAGCGTGTTTGCGCGCTTGAGAGCTGAGTCTGTCTAGTGCTCTTCTGCGATGGAGCACCGGGCCCCTCTCTTCTTGATCCTCTGGCTCTAGAGGATGGCTGCTCGGACTCTGGTGCTTCCACCTCCTCCATGTCGCTGCTCTCTGAAGCGATGACTTGTGTGGAGGATGCACCACGCCTTGTTGGCGGCGCATTCACAAAAGGAGAGGTTCTTGCCGCGCTAGCCACGACAGCAGATGCCTGGCTCGTTGTTTTCTTGCGGTCATTACTCTCATCTTCCAGCCAGTAATTATCGCCGACACCGAATTCTTTAGGCTTGACTTCAGTAAGGGCGATGATCACCCTCGCGGGCTGCCTGCCCACTACTTCCCCTCTCTTGCGAAATTTCTTGAAATTCTTCATGCCATTCCACTTGGGATTCCATCTTCCGTCTGCGATTTCCTGCTCTTTATCCTTCCCGGACGCTCTGTCTGGGATACGAATGTCCATCTCCTCAACGATATTGAGCCGGCGGATCTCAGCCAAGTCAATACCATCCGGTAGGTTTGCCAAGTCTTCAGCCTCGGCTCGAGCTCGAGCTTCCGCCTCTTCGCGATTCTTCGCGACCACTGCCAGAACATCTAGTTCCTCCTTTGCCTTCTTTTTTGCACCCTTGGTCTCTGCCGATTCGGCCACCTGTACATCAGGCTTGGGTGATGGTGCGGCGAAATCGTCTCCCCTCTCAAGGCGTTGCCGTTTGAACTTTGCCACAGACGGAGCCAAGCCTTCCATCAGGTCGCTATCGGGTATGGGCGAGGGTGATCTCTTTCTGTGGGATCGAACGTCGACATCCTGGCCGTCAGGCATAAAAGGTTCATCTTGCTCTTGCGAGACAAATAATCCACCCTCATCCTCCTGTGGGAGCGTTTGACGCTTCGGCGGCTCATAAGGGGGCAACGGTTCATCTGCTCCCTCGTCATCGTCGTCATCGAAGCCGGCGAATCGCCTCTTGACAGGTTTCCGCACTCTAGGCCCTCGCCTTGGGATTGGCTGAGAATCTCCTTGTTGTGAAGGTTCCGTTGGTATTGGTGATTCTGTTACACTGGCCTTGCTCTGTTGAGTCATGGGTTCCTGTAACGAAGCCTCGGCAGGCCGTGAATTTTGAGTTCTGTTTGACGATTCTATTTCCAGAGGTCGTCGTAATTTGCTTGCATCGTTGATCAGAATTGCTTCCAAGAATTCGTTTTGCTCGATGGGTCTATGGTCCAGTAACAGTGATACCGCGGTGACGAACTCGGTATACCAGCCAATAAGCTCTCCTTTGGCCGGGAGAAATCTTACGAGAACAACCCCCTTACCTTCACTGCCATCGTTGAATGATCCGGTTCCTTTCTCTCCAGCAACTCCCTTTACATATCGAACAAAGTCGTCAACCTGCGTCTCCTCTGGCTCGATGGGATGCAGCATGGCCTTGCCACCGCCATTAGTAATGGGTGCCATGAGGTTATCGTACTGCAGCTGGCTGTAAAATATGAAAGTGTATCCTTCAAATACATCTTTTCGACTGTCATCGGGAGTATATAGCTCGTCTGGATGCTGTATCGGTTCACTACCTCGCGGAGGCAGATGTTCCATGGCCTTGGGCCAATACTCGTCAAAGTCCCTTTCTAAGTAGCTCGACTCTTGGCCATCTTCAGCGTCTGGCGGCTCTGTAACGGAAGAGACTGCATCGAGAAAGGTTTCCGTGACAATGTATTTGCCATTTATGAGAGCCTGTAGACCTTTGGCTGTATTCCGCTTCTTCGAGATGACGTGCGTCGTGTGTTTCACGCTGTAGTCGGTCAGCAGCTTGATGTCTAGCTGCTCAAATCGTTCTTTGAGGGAGGTCAAGGGCTGAGTTTGTAGTTCTTTGGTTGTGAAGGAGAAAGTAAAGACCGCCGGATGCCACTTCAGCCTATTTTGTCTGTCAGTAAAAGTAAAAGCAAAACGCAGAACGCACCGACATCTATATCAGTCGTCTAGACATCAGTACCTGAATTTGCTGGGACTCTTCCCTAGCGTGATCTCGTACTCTTCAACTTGGGTATCATAGACGCTTCCTTTGATTTTTTGTCCGTTGACAACTGTCCCTATCTTTGTCGCCAGATCTTCAATCTTAATGTGTGACCGGCTCGATAGGTTATGTGTCTGTCCCTCTGCGACGCTTTGGACAGTGATTGTCAGGTGTTTGCGTGAGATGGTATTATGTGAGATTGCAAGCTGCCCAGCTGAAGTCGCCTCAGTCAGTACTTGATGCAAGCCTCAATGCCCTGTGAAAGTGTGAAATTGCAAACTCACGCTCTGCTGCGGTCCTCCCAAAGAGATACGTCTTGCCTGGGCGCAGCCATAGTCGACGGCCTGCATCAAGATTGTCAACACAGGTGACGGTGTCACAGCGACTCCAGGCCCAGGACAGGCCTCTCGCTTACCTTCAAAGGCCTCCTCGTTTTCTAGCAGCCACATCGCCTCAGGCTGCTATTCATTCTATGCCAGGGCCCATCTCTTGACGCGCATATGCCGTAATGACGTTGGTTAACTGGTGTCGTGAACTTTTTGCGGGGCGGCGCGTCAGCACAGGCGGTATCTTCAACGCCAATTCACGTGCTTCTTTAGGTTGGATGCCTGCATTTAATTCAACGTCATTTCCAACATAAAAGCAGCAAAGCAAACATAAATAAAGAGAGCAGCTCATCTATGCATTAAATATATCTGCAAGTAATCAATGACGTTGCGCCTGCTTATATTAACATACAAGCACTGTTTAATCAGTAGCTGCTGGTGACTACACGCTTCTCAGTTCAAATACGTAGTCGGTGTAAGTCGCTGACGAAGGTCTCACATATGGAACATTGCTCTCAAATCCAAGACTTGCATAGTTTATCAGAACAAGGACATATTTTTTGGTGTTCAGAAAGTCTACACGAAAGAATTCAATAGCATCCTAAGATGACGCTTAACTACGCTTGCTATGGCAATGTACAATGCTCTCCCCTGTTTCCTTCTCTTTTCTTTTTTGTTGCAAAAGCTTGAAACTTTTTACAAGTTTGTCATCGTGTAACAAGCTGGTGGCATTGGGGTAAATAGACCAACAGACTACAACATTTTACCTCCAAATCAACCTTCAGACCACCCTCCACCTATGAAATTCAACTAGCATCCGCTGACGTCCAGCTTTTCTGCCTCGCTCAACAGATTCGTCTTCGTTATTCGTCGAATACGGATCAAAATCCTCTGCTTTCTCATGATTGATCTTGGAGAGCTCGTCGATTTCGCCAATCTTCCACCCGCGAAGTATGACCATGCAAATGGCAGCAGCGATATACGTCAGCCCAGTCCATAGCTGGGTTCCCAGATAACTTCCCGTTCCAGTGACAATTTGTAAAGCAATTGGCTCGCTAAACGTGCAGGGGAGTACAATTCCCAGCCACATGATGTTGAGAGCAGACGGCACGTCCGCCAATCCAACGATTTCGGCTGCGACTGGTCCAACAACGGTCCAGAATGTGCCGCCGACCATGCCGCAGATGATGGAATAGAAAATGAGTACGCCGTATACTTTGGTGTTGATCCAGATTGCCAACGCAAAGATTCCGGCTAGCAAAGTAGTAAAGGCAGCCATGTTCATTCGTCCGGTCCGATCGCTAAAGTACCCCATTATAGGCCGACCAATGCTTTGACCCAGGTTGAAGAAGGCGCTGATGAGAGCTGCTTGAGAAGACTGAAGGCCAATTACGTTTGCGTAGTTGGAGAGGCTGTAGATGACGACAGAGTAACCAAAGATACTGAACCAGCCGAATGCCACGAACAGCAGGAACTCGGGCCTCAGCAGAAGAGACCCCTTGAAAGCTAGATGGGTCGACCCAATTATCTTGTTACGGTCCTTGACTAAGAGAGTACAGATGAAGTTGACGACAAAAGCGAGGATACCCAGTATTCTAAAAGTCCAAGCAAGTCCCAAGTTTTGAATCATGGCACCAGTAGCAAACGAGTAGATGAGACCGCCCAGACCTGAACCGGCGGCTGCTATACCGTTCGCCAAAGAACGATGCGTCGTAAACCATTGGGGGATGATGCCGACTGTGGCTGTAAACAGGACGCCTATGCCGAGGCCGAAGACGACGCCCTGCGTGAGGAAGATGTGCCACACCTTGGAGGCAAAGCTCGCTGCAATCCAACTGCCCGTTTCGATGACGACGCCAAACAGCATTACTTGTCTTGTACCAAACTTTTTGACGGCTATGGTTGCGAAGGGAGAGATGCCCATGGCGCAGCCCATGCTAAGGGATCCGATAAAGGCATACTGGAGGGTGGTGGCTCCGTTGAAAGTGTTGTTTCTTATGTAATATGCCAAGAACACGCCGTAGCTAGAACTCATTCCCCATGTGTGAGCGTTAATCATGCAAACAGCAATGGTAACAATCCATCCATATCCTCCATTCGGCGGCGGTGGGGGCGATGCGGCATCGGCAGGTTGTTGGTCTTGGCTCTCGATCATAGATTCATGGTTTCCTTTCTCTGTCTCATCTTTCATGGCACTCTGTCCATTGCTGTTTGATTCTGGCTCGGGAGTCAAAAAATGGTGCTCTTTGACATGACATTTGTCGGTATGTATATGTACTTGAATGTGGTTCATCTTGTCCGCGCAAAAACTTGTTCTCAGCAAAGGTGGAAGTGAACCAGGGGTTCAACGAGTCAACTAACCTGGCGAGGAAGAACAACAAGATAATAGCAACTATACAAGAAAGAATATATAGATGAGGGAAAAAAAGATATACATATATACAGGAAAGGAGGGGCTGAACATGACTCTCAGCTTGGCAGCCGGAGTAAGACTACCGTCGTATTTCCATATCCAACTCTTCTGATGGGCCACCACCGGGGCTGAACCGGGCTGAACCGGCATCGTCCCATATAAAAACAGGCCCACGGCGACCCGATTCATCCCCTCTATTTCCTATTTTGTCAATTTGGGAAAAGGTTAAGTGAGATCTTGCTTTGCTTTTACGTATGAGATTAATAACCTGCTCCTTGCATTGAAAATGTTTTCTCGGGGATATCGGTGCTCGCCATTAAGCGCCTATTAGAGAAGACAAATTTCCTTAACTAGCACTTAGATACGAGGCTCAATATACTGTCATCCAGTTTTGTTGCGATGAAAAACAAGGCACCAAGGTGCGGCTGAATTAGCGGCTGAGGTTGGATATCACCGCGTGCATATACACCTGCACGGTCTGGAGTAGAAATTGCCTGATCTAATGCCTAAAAGCAGCCTTCTACTGTACACGTAATGTATACTGATTTTCTGTCTCCTTCGAATGCAATCAGGAAGGAGGTTTTTAACGGCGCTAATTCAACTGATTACTCCTGAATAGAACTATTTCATGAATTGTATGATTCGATTGGACGAGTTATAGAGACCGAATTGGCAATTTCTATGCAGTAGTTTCCTAGTATACGGCAGCTAGTCTACCCCCGCAATTTCTGTATTTTTTGATGACAAGTGCGTGAATACTAGCAGTGTCCGATTGCGACATTATATAATACCTACCTAGGTGAACAAATATATAATAGATATATATCTCAACGGTGCATTCTTAGCCCCAGAGCACGAGCAAAAGCATTTGTACCACCGGTTGCTTCATTGAGGCAAGAATTGAACTTATTCTCATCGCTCTCTTCTCACAACTTTCTACTGGCTTTTAGAGTGTTTCGAAGCTGATCCCGACGAATTCAGTGTAGATATACCTACGTTTTAATACAATATCAATTTTCTTAGCTGCGCAACCGGTTTGAGTGAAAATGGAATGAAAATAAGGCAATCTTTAGTTTAGTCAATTTCTGATTCAAATGATATAAGCCATATTGCATGTTAAAGACAACAGGCTCATTTTACCGTCAGTAGAAAATTGTAGGTTCATGTGTGTCAAACAGAAGCTCATTGGAATTCATATTTCCCCGTTAAAAAAAGAATGAACATCGGATTGGTTCGAGGATTCTGCTTGATTCGGCAAAAACTGGCGTGGCAGACCGCTGTGTTTACAATATGCAGAAACACTATACTCTAGACTTAGTAAAGGAAATGAAAGCGAAGCAGAGTGGAATTTTGCCATAGGGCTGCCAAGCTTGCCCAAAAACTAGGGCCTTCAAACGGGAATAGATAGATCCATCTCTACGCTAAAGATCGAAACGTTTGAAGCTTGGCTCGGAGCCTCATAACATCTGCCGACGTCAAGCCGCGAATGCTCCAGGGAGTCTATTCCTAGTAGACATTCGCAACTCTGTCACAACTCTGTCACATCGCAGTCCTCGTCAATGCAAATAGCAAGCGCTTGGACCAGTCGTCTCAACAATTCAACTTCTCGCTTCGAAAGGAGACAATGTCACGTCGTCTGCAAGCATTACCCAATTTGGACATGAGTCGTAGATCAAGGCAATATAAAACGCAAATCCACGGATGGGTGATGTGCATTGCCAGGCAGCCTTAATGCTCCGCCATGGTGAAACACCTTCTGGAGCAAAAAAGAAAACACTGCCCTAGCAATCGTTTGATGAGGATGTTCTGGATAGCGCTTGCTAAAGAAGAACTAAGTCGGCAATCTGAGACAAGACCGTTGGGGTTATTAATAGACAAAGGGCACTAGATGGTCACGACTGGAGCCGGTGGATGGGGAACGCAATTTCGACAATTTAGATGCCGGTAGATCACACGAGAAACGTTGCATGCCAATTGGCGAGATAGAATTAGGAAGGTATGTAGACATCGGGGAGGAAATAGTCAAGATAGTATTCCTCTTGAGGCAATCCGAAAAGTCGATTTACTGAAAGCCATTCCAGCAGGTATATCAAGAAAATAGAGAAAAAAGACAAGCTGGGCAAAGGACGTTGAACGTCAAGTTTCATTAATAGGTATATAGATCAGTAGCTGCGCGATGGAGCTTCCTGCATTACATTTCAATACGTTTGGATGAACCAGAACAAAAAAAATCAAGATATAAAAAAAAAACAGGCCCAGTGATCATTTTCTAAATGCACAGCCCAGCCTGCTAGGAACCGCGCGCTCTTTGCTTCTCGTTCCGCCAGGTATCATTCCTTTAATTAAAAAACAAGCCCCCACCTATATCGCTCATAATCGACTAAGAACCACGTAATTTTTCCTTGTTAAATAGGAACAAAACACTTTATGCCTGAGCGCGCTCAGACTTGGAGGCGCGGCGCTCACGGGCAGCCTCGGACCAGGGGAAGTGGATGACGGGAACCTGGAAGAAGGAGTTGCTGCGGAGTTGTTAGCAATTGAAATAGTAGCAACGTAGAACGCTGAATCAACTAACCTGCTGTCCTGAATACCAGCCAGGGCGTTGTACCAGGCAAGGAAAGCGGCCAGGAAGCCGAAAAGACCACCAGTCTTCTGCAGAGCGAGTGAGGCAGTCATGTTGCCCAGGTCGGCGGCGTACTGCTCAGTGGCA